ATTTAGTTTTGAGTCACGGAACGTTTTTCGCTCTTCACACCCAAATGAAAATTTTTTCTTATTGTAGCATTTCCAAATTTCCCCCCTGTGGGGCGTGCGCCCCAAGTTCAGGATCACTACCCTAGGGTCTCTATGAGCCTGGGAGCTTAATCATTTGTTCCATTACTTGCTTTTGAGGTTGAAAATAACACATTTCAAAAATACCTTGTCTAAACAGCTTTAGTGGATTTCAATTGTTTTAGTACTGTGTTACATCGTGTACGGCTGTCGTATAAAAAATATCATTTATTATAGAGTAAAAATTAATACATTTCCAAACATCTCTAGTTATAGTAATTAGCCAGTAATATTAATAATACATGTATTGAGTCAATACTGAAGTTATACACCTCGATTCTAAATTGGAAAATGGTAACCCCCTTAGAAAATAATTTATTTAAGTCCTCTACTGGCAGCAAAAGTGATAGGAATTTCAATGTAGCCTATTTTCAGACCTTTTGATATACAGTCAGTTAACTTTGTTATTGAAGATAAGCTTATGTCTTTATTATACGTTTTTTACATAATTACCTCCACCACCTAAGGTGTGTGTGTTTGTCAGCAAGATTCCTGAAGGAATTTGGACGAAAATTTGTATAAATTTGGACTATGATACAAATAAGAAGTGACTAGCTTTTTGGAGGATCAAGGTCAAAGATCAAGGTCACAAAAATAAAAAAAGCCCTGTCTATTAACATGGGGGCCAATTTTTCACACTATTTTTGTTCTATAACTCAGACAAAAATGATTGGATTTTGATGAAACTTGGTGGACATATGTAGAATATTATTCCTCATTGTTCTGCCAAAAATGGTCCGTGCCTGTTGATAACGTCGAACAAACGGACACATCTTCGTATTTTTTGAGAGCCGAATATGATCAACGCTGCGTGACAGAGGTATGCACTCTACTGAGTGTCCCTCTAGTTTTGTGACTGTTTTAGAAGTAACTGGTATTGAAGACAGAGGATGAGATATGTCAAGAGTCTATCTAAATGGATGAATGTATCGACATTAATAATTCTTTGTGTCTCAAGGAGAAAAAACCTGTGTAAGACCATGGCCAAAACTGGTTATGGCATTTTAGAGAGAGAGAAAGATTGAAATCGTGTGAAAATGGTGAAATGAGATCACAAAAACAACTCAGAATACAAGCTTGTAAGAATAAGGGAGGAAGATAATAATTACGTAAAAATCTAACAATTGTATTCCTCTATGGACTTAAATTAATGTTGTTTTTTATTTCTCCTTTATTAGACATGATATCCAATAGAATTTAAATAGAGATTTCGAAAAACGGTTTGATAAAAGAAAAATAACCTGTCTACTGATTGGCTCTTCGGAATCTATAGAAATAGTTTCAAATAAAATCGATATATGTTTTATAAGATGTAGTATATGTTACTTAAACTTACTTTAATCTTGAGAAACAGCTATTTATAAACATACTGAAGTATCTATTTCTAGGGGAACATACTAAATGTTTCGACAGGACATGATTATTTCAGCATAATATCTTTCAATACATAAGTACTTTTTTTTCAATAAGTCAGTACCAGAACCACCTAGCTTCTTAAAAATGGCTACCTCTCAAATGGAACGTTAAGCGCACTCGGAGATGCATGTATATATATATATTGGTTTGGATATGTACAAACATATCTTCCACTCCATTATGATATACGAGTGATTGTAAGAAGATCTATTGGAGTTTTGTTTTGTATATATATATATATATTATATGTGTGTATGTGGTCCGTATGATAAAATTCCCACTAGGTGACACTTAACAAGAACGCAAAGATACAAGAGGACTATTTGTGCTAGCCGTCCCTAATTTAATAGTGATAGACTAGAGGGAAGGCAGCTGGTAAACACCACCCACCGCCAAATCTTGGGTTACTCTTTTACCAACGAATAGTGGGATTGGCCGTCATTTATAACGCTCCCATGGCTGAAAGAGCGAGCATGTCTGATGTGACAGAGTTTCGAACCCGCGACCCTCAGATTGCGAGTCGAACGCCCTAACAATCAGGTCACGCCAGGCTTTTTATTGTTATAGCAAAAGGACCTAACTCTGAAACTTAGACCAGGCCGCTTCGAATTTCATTTTCTTCATGTCATTAGGAAAATAACGATAGGAAATTATTATCTTTTTTATCTATCGAACTGGCTAGCTATCCATATGAAGCTTTACTTAAAAACTGAAGAAAAAAAATTGGAACCCTGTACAACATTCTATTCATCTTCATTTTTATTTGTTTTTTTAATCGTGGTGTACAATATCCTGCTAATTTCGAGTTTGTCACGCGGAAGTTCGAACGTTTGCGACTAAGGGCACGTGGAAGCGTGTGAAAATGTACAGGTGTATGGTAGTGATTCCGTTACACGCGAAGCTTTAGTTTGTTTAGCACGTTACCTTGGCAACGACTGGAGCTTGCCGAGTTCTCTATATTACCTGCAAGTTCAATCCTTCAAACATACTACCACCTATCGTCAAGGGTTCCATTACTCGACTTGACATCCTGACCCTTCAACGCAGTAAGAGAAGCTCAAGTCAGCAGAGGAACAACAGTCTCTGCTTTTCCAGCTCCAGATTTATGGTATATGCTGAGATTCATGTTTTGCTATTCTTTTGTTTGTCGTTTATGTTTAAATTTTTGAAGTATGTTGTTTTAAAAAGTTTTCGAAATTGTTAATTCTCTTGAAGTATGGGTTTGATCAAGTTCGATATTGTGTACAATTTTTATTTATCGTTTCAGATAGCACCAGTCAGTGAAAGACTTGCAAATCTACTCTGTAGGAAAACTTGGAACACAAAAGTAAGAGCATAAAATGCGAATGCTAGATTCAATGCGCATGCGCCTTATTCCGTACAAAATTGTACTCTCGTGCTGAAAGTTTAAGTTTGAAATTCTTTGAGAAAATGCTTGCCTCTTGCGATTTCTTTTTAAAATTTAAAACAAAAAAACAACTTAAAATATAAAAAACAATGTTTTTATTATTTTCTTAAATCTTGCAATATATGTTTGACGAAATTTAAATTCGTTTTCAAAGAAGGGACCCCCCAGTGGCACAACGATATGTCTGGGGACTTACAACGCTAGAAACCGGGTTTCGATACCCGTGGTGGGCAGAGCACAGATAGCTCTTTGTGTAGCTTTGTGTTTAACTTCCAACAAACAATTCAAAGAAGGGTAACCCAAAAAGTAAAATAAAGAAAATAGTTCTCAAGTCTCTCCCTTTTTTGAAACTGCTAGTTCGCAATTAACAATATTTGTCAAGCATTTTTATGGTACATAGCATTGCTATCTGTCCGTATCATAAGTTCGAATCTTGCCTCTTAAATCTTATTTAGCACACCATTTCTCAGTCACTAGCTTTGCTCTTTTAAAATTTCGTGTTTTGTTTTCCGTTGATCATTTTTAACTCGTTTCACGTTGTTTTTTTTTTATTATTGTTGTCTTTAAATATTTATCTTTGTTTCATGCCCTCTGTACAGTTTGGCTTTCCTAATCATATTCTTTTGTTCCTGACAATATATTTTCTTTCTTGCAGGTTAAACTCCTGGAATGCTTACAAGCTTCTGCATTTATGTAAATGTATGAGACAGGCCCGCCGACAAACGGGGACAAAGAGGGCAACTGCCCAGGGGCCCGGGCGAATGAAACCTGGTTATGCCGTAAAGCCCGCAAAGCATCTTTAGGATATATATTAATTATTACTCAAATTATTATTTCAGTCGTTCTTAATGTATCAAGCGTCTATATGCAAAGAAAAGCCAAAAACTATGGTTTTTATCATTAAATGAAGAGCAGCCGTTTTTACCTCACAGTATAAGCGTAAAAACGTTGATAAAGTAACAACAAATATCTATTAAATCTATAAAGTAACAAGTACATATATGATTTTGTCTGGTTTATGAGCTCGTTGCTGTCCTAATTTAGGATCTTCTTTTTAATAAATTCTTGAAAATGTTAAAAAGAGAGAGAGAGAGAGAGAAAGGGGGCCTAGCAAGGATGTTTGCCCCGGGGCCCGTGGTGGCTGTCGACATTCCTGACTATAAGCAAATGCTGTGATCGACACAAGATCCAATATTCAAATAACATCAAAAAAAGTCTTCCCAAGTACTTACTGCAGCAAAAATGACAGAACTAATTAACCAAAACAGCATTCCTCCGTGGGAAAAGATGTCGTAGTCTTTGTGAGCAACATGGAAGTCTTCATCTGGTACCACTATCTCTAATGCTCCCTAAAAAACAAAAATGACAGAACTAATTAACCAAAACAGCATTCCTCCGTGGGAAAAGATGTCGTAGTCTTTGTGAGTAACATGGAAGTTTTCATCTGGTACCACTATCTCTAATGCTCCCTAAAAAACAAAAACAAAAATGACAGAACTAATTAACCAAAACAGCATTCCTCCGTGGGAAAAGATGTCGTAGTCTTTGTGAGCAACATGGAAGTCTTCATCTGGTACCACTATCTCTAATGCTTCCTAAAGAACAAAAACAAATATGAAACTAATACATAAATGTTCAGGGACATATAAAAAAAGTTATAGAATTTAACTACAGTAAAAATGTGTGTATGTGCACTAAAGAACATCTTTATATCATAAGAAAACCTCATGCCAATCTATAACACATACTAAATATTACTAGACTTAGCATAACCACTAATAGATATTACAGTAGTAAGTTATTTATGATACACACCAATTTTCTTGGTAAATGTGGGTCAAAAAATATTACAAAATAAATGTTAAGAATACATAGCAGGATTTTATTCAGGATCTGAAGAATGGGGTCAGAAATATTTCATATTGAGGGGGAAAACATTTAAATATTGAAAATTTCTCAAGACAAACTAATACACATCTGATTCTACTACATTTACTCTCTCACTACGGGGTCAGGCAAACTGGTCGAGTTCATGACCCCAAATTGACCTTTATAGTTTCCATTAGAATTTTTAATGAAGTACTTTCACTAAACATTTCTACATGAAAATATACTCAAAGTGTTGACTACACCAAGTGCAAAGTGGTCTTTGTATTAAGATTAAAAACACTATATACGAGCTTGGTCAATTTGAGCGACCTCATAACCACCAAAAAAAAAATTTAAACAAATCAAAATTACTCTTTTTTTTTTTCCTTCTACAATGATTTCAAATTGAAACATGAAACTAAATTTCTTTACCCAAATTCCTTTAAACTTGTAACAGTATACATCTGTTTATACTTAAATTTTATTGCCCTTTGAACTGTCTAACTAATATTCTTGCCATAAAATTCGTAACTCACTTTAAGGATGTGTACCTCGTGTTACCCTATCAAATTACATAATGCATGGGCTACTCATTAGTTGTTCACGAGTATTATTAATCTTTATTTTATCTAATCTAACATGAAAAGTTTCTAATTTTTACATTTTAGTTACTTATATAATAATAAATAAAGAATATGCATGAAAAACAGGAAATGAAGTACTTACCTGGATCTCCTCTTTTTTGTTTCCTTTTTTTTTTATGTTGATGACACTTAATCGTACTTTTTATAAGAATGGTAGTACTGCACTAAATAATTT